GGTTTATTTAATTAACACGGAATGTATTTGTTTATTTGTATTTAATAGTTAGTTGCCTGATTCTATACTGTATATCTGATCATGTTTTAGTAATGATAATATCTCACAAGTCAGTAACACTCGGACGCTAGTACTATACAGGGTAGTTATATAATGATAACAAGAATTGTTAACAATAAATTAATTTCATTAAAAAAATTTAAACTAAAAACACAAACAATTAAAACAAAACCAAAATTTAAGTCAGACCCAAACCCAAACGCCCACTACCAGCGCACCCATGCCTACCAGCTCTACACCAACACCAAAACCAATGGACATCGAGCAGCGCTTAAACGACTTGAGCCACACCATCGCCGAGATCCGGGGTTATTCGGCCGAACCCATGGGCTTTTACTTCAATCTCCACCAAATGGTGGACCGCGTGAACCCACCCCAGCAGATGCTGGTGGACGGCCAGCAACAGTGTTGAGGGTGGCGCAACCACAGCCCCCATATGAACCGGGTCAACCCATGTATCGGACCCTATGGATCAGCCACGACAATGTCTACTGCCAGCCCGTGTGTCGACTGAAGCGCGAGCCGGAGGACCATTGGTTGGCCTACGAGCAGCTGCCCTACGGTGGTGTAGTGGACGTACTATCGCACGCCGGCCAAACCGTCCGCACCCGTGCCCTCCCCGCTGAACCGGACCGGCCGTCGTATCTGATCGTCGCGGGCCCGCACACCGTCGCCGCGGCCACACAAAACCTCTGGGAGCTCGAGGCTCAGGTGGGGTCGGCGATGGCCACTCTCTACCAGTTGGCCCAAGACATGCACGCCATGAATATGGCCGCTCACCCGGCGATGCACCCGCCGCCCAGCCGGGCTTTACTCTGGGTCAGTGGGGCCGACACCTGTTGACTGAGTTGCGGTCTATGACCCACGCGGTGGCTGAGGTTGTGTTGACCGCCGCATTGGTGTTGCCCGTCGGCCAATAAGCACGACCCACGAGCGCCGGGCGGATCAGCACAGGTGGCCCAACACTCATCCTATTATTAGTTTTTTTCGCCATTTATTGACATTATATTTGTTTGAAATCATTAAACAGTTTGCGAAACAGTAATTGTTGTGTGTTTTGTTGGAAAGGGAGGAAGGGTTGGCAATGATCTGTTTATATATTAACAGGGAATGTATTTGTTTAATTAGTTGCCTGTTCTTATACTGTATATCTGATCATGTTTTATTGAGTATAATAAGTCAATAACAATCAGTAATCCTGGTATTATACAATAAAGATAACAATAATTGTAAATAATAAACTATTTTTATTTTGAAAAATTTAAGCTAAAAACAATTAAAACAAAACCAAAATTTAAGTAAAAACAACACAAACCCAAACTCAAAGCCCGCACTGCCAGCGCACCCATACATACCAGTCCTACACCACCACCAAAAACCAATGAACATCGAGCCGCTCATAAACGCCTTGAGTCAGGACATCGACCAAATCCGGGTCGATTTGGCCGAACCCATGGGCTGCTACTTCGACACCAACCAGATGTTGGTGGACGTGTACCTCGTCGGCCAACCCCAACACATCGTGGTGGACGGCCAGCCAATTGGGGTGGACGTAGCGCCCGACCATATACAGGGCGCCATATACCGGACTCTACACTTCACACACCAAGACCACCACCACGTCAATGTCTACCGGTATCAACTGGTGCAGCACCAGCCGGGGGGCCATTGGTCTGCCTACGAGGACGTGGCCGGTATTTGGATGCCCGTACAATCGCACACCGGCCTCACGGTTACCACCCATGCCTTCCACAATCGGCCGGCGGCCCTATACGTGACGGGTCCGCACGCCGTACAGCGGGCCGCGCATGTGCTCCATCACGAGGACTACCCAGTGCTGGAGGCTCGGGTGGCGCTGGCGTTGGCCACGTACGAGCAGTTGAGAAATATCTTGAACGCCACACATCAGGCCGTTCTCCCGGCGATGGATCCGCCGCCCGGTGCCGCCCTGGGCTTGACTCTGGGCCAGTGGATGGACATCCTGTTTGATCGGTTGCTGGCGATGTCGCCCGAGGTGGCCAGATTTGTGTGCGGCGCCACATTGGTGTTGGCCGTTGGCCAATAGACATCGCCCCCGAGCGCCGGGCGTATTAGCACAGGTGGCCCAACATTCATATCCTTTTGTTAGTATTTTCGCCCATTTATTGACAGTATATTTGTTTGAAATCATTAAACAGTTTGCGAAACAGTAATTGTTGTGTGTTTTGTCGGAAAGGGGAGGACGGGTTGGAAATGATCTGTTTATCTAATTAACAGGAAGTGTATTTGTTTAATTATTTGCCTGATCTCATACATTCCATCATGTTTTATTAATTTTAATATCTTAGTAACACTCGGGCCCTGTGGTCCTATAGAGGGTAGTAATGTAATAACGATGACAATAATTGTAAGCAACAAAATAATTTTATTTAAAAAAATTAAACTAAAAACACAAACAATTAAAACAAAACCAAAATTAAAGTCAAAACAACAAAACCCAACGCCCACTACCAGCGCACCCATACCTACCAGTCCTACACCAACACCAAAACCAATGGACATCGAGGAGCACATAAACATCGAAGAACACATAAACGACTTGAGTTTACAGATCGCCCAGGTCCGGGCTGTGGCCGAACCCATGGGCTGCTACTTCGATACCAAACAGATGTTGGTGGACGTGGACTTCCCCGACTACCAACACATTGTGGTGGACGGCCAGCCCGTAGTGGTGCGCGTGGCGGGAGGCCCTCAGGAAGCCACGATACGGACCCTACTCCTCATACTCGAACACCCGGTCCATTTCGAACCCGAGTTGTGTCGACTGAGGCGTTACCCGCAGGACCATTGGGTGCCCTACTACGATGTCGACGGTGATATGGTGCCCCGGCTATCGCACACCATCCGCCCGGTTCGCACCCATGCTATCGCCGCCGAACCGCAACGGCCGTCGTATCTGTACGTCGCGGGTACGGCCACCGTAGGGCGAGCCGCGCAGTCACCCCAGAACTACCCGGCGCTGGAACCTGCGGTCGGGCTGTTAAGGGCCACTTACGAGGCGGTGCTCAACGACTTGAACGAGCAGCAAATGGCCGATGACCCGGTGATGAATCCGCCGCCCGGTGCCGCGCCGGGCTTGACTCTGGGCGAGTGGATGCGCAACCTATCTGATGAGTTGCTGGGTATGTCGCCCCAAGTGGCCCACTTTGTGTATGGCTCCACATTTATTTTGCCCCTTGGCCAATAGGCATCCCTCGAGCGCCGGGCGTATTAGCACAGGTGGCCCAACACATCCTATTATTAGTGTTTTCGCCCATTTATTGACAGTATATTTGTTTGAAATCATTAAACAGATTGTAAAACAGTAATTGTTGTGTGTTTTTGCCGGGAGGGGAGGAGGGGTTGGAAATGATCTGCTTATCTGATTAACTGGGAATGTATTTGTTTAATCATTAGCCTGATCTCATAAATGTGATCATGTTTTCATTAAAGGCAATATCTCACCCACTTGTCAGTAACCCTGGTATTATATAACAACGATAATAATAATTGCAAACAAAATAATTTTATTAAAAATAATTTAACTAAAAAACACAAACAATTAAAACAAAACCAAAATTTAAGTCAAAACAACAAAACATTAAACCAAAACCCAAACCTAAATGCCCACCACTTGTGCGCACCCATACCTACCAGCCCTACACCACCACCAAAAACCAATGGAGATCGAAAACCAGATAAACGCGTTGAGTCAGGACATCGACCAAATCCGGATCAATTTGGCCGAACCCATGGGCTGCTACTTCAATACCAACCAGATGTTGGTGGACGTGGAAGTGGACGCCCTCCCCCAACACATCGTGGTGGACGGCCAGCCCATCAGGGTGTACGTGGCGCCACCCCCTCCAGGGGCCATAGCCCGGACCCTGCGCATTAGGCCCGATGACCCCTACGAAGTCCACCCGTACTTGTGTCAACTCGGGCCCCACCAGGACGGCCATTGGTTCGCATACGACTTTGTTAACGGTGTTATAGAGCCCCGGCTATCGATCACCGGCCACCCGGTGCGCACACAACCCATGCCCGCCGACCCCAATCGGGTGTCGGCCCTATACCTAGCGGGTCCGGTCACCCTAGGGCTGGCCGCGCTGGCGCCCCAACACGCGAACTACCCGGAGCTGGCGGCTCGAGTGGCGCAGGCGATGGTCACCTACGAGGCGGTGCTCAACGAGTTGAACGGCTTGCAAATGGCCGGCCTCCCTGTGTTTGACCCGCCGCCCGGTGCCGACTGGGGCTTCACTTATGGCCAGTGGATGGACGACCTGTCGGATCAGTTGCTGGCGATGGCGCCCGAAACAGCCATCTTTGTGAGTGTCGCCACTTTGGTGTTTGACGGCGGCCAATAGGCATATTCACGAGCGCCGGGCGTATTAGCACAGGTGACCCAACACACACATCCTATTATTAGTGTTTTCGCCCATTTATTGACAGTATATTTGTTTGAAATCATTAAACAGTAATTGTTATGTGTTTTGTCGGGAAGGGAGGAGGGGTTGGAAATTACTTGGAAATGCTTATGTTTAATAAGTTGCCTGATCTTATATAAATGTCAATATGTTTTATTAATGTCATTTATTAATAGCGCTCGAGGGAAGGTGACCTGGTAGTAATGTAAAGTAGTTTACATGTAGTAATTTAATACAGTAGCAAGATCAATAATTTTAAACAATTAAAAAGTAGCCATAATTTTAAACTTAAGAACAAACTTTAAATTAAATAAATTCACGAGAATTTCGAAATTCAAATAATTGCCTCAATTTCTAAATCAACAATCATTTGACAATTAAATAGTAATTGTAATTAAAAGTCTATTCGTTAAACATATTCACAGATTTGATCCATTGATCCACTAATTAATTAATTACTTAATTAAAAACAAGTGTTGAACACAAAGAGAGACAATGGTTTACACTCTCATCGCAATCACAGTCGCGGCCATTGTTTGCGGCGAAAGTGTTGACCCAACTATCGGTGCGATTGGCACTCATATGACGACCGACTCGACGGGTGTCGACAACACAGACCTCGGCTACAATTGTGACCAACAGTTTCTCAACAACTTTGCCGACAATATTAGACTAAACCTAACCTATTGTCTGAGTGGAGACCTGTGGGCACCGGGAGCTCCGGCACCGGATTTCACGGATGCCATCAATTGCTGCTATCATTACGACTTGAATCGAGTCGTTAAACCGATGGTATGTTTACTTTATATGAATATAATGTATGCATGTTTTCAAAACTAACCATTGAATGAATTGTACGGATAGTACGACAAAGAGTGCCGTAAAGTGTCCGACAAATACGATAGCGATGTCCGCAAAATGATGACTAATTGCACCGCAAATGGCCATCAATTGAGCGATAGTTTCTGCGCCGGACTGACCGGTAAGCGCCCGATGAGCCCCGAGTGCCAAATGTTTATCACAGGGTTGGCCAACCGTGTCGTCCCATAACCACAACATTGTGTGCCGTCTCTGCTCTTCATTATTGTTATTACATTTCGTTGTATTTTGTTTAAAAATTTTTAGAGTTTTTTTTAGTTATATTTGAGATTAAATTTTTATTTAATTTTATATTTGTCAACGATTTAAATGTTTTGTTTAATTACATTGTTTTATAAATAAATGTTTATTTAATTTCATCATTTATATCACACCCACACATGTAATAGTTTAGGTTAGAGCTGGAATTTAGCCATTCGTTTTGAGTAAATGATATTTTTAATCTCAAATACAAATACATAATTTAGACCATATTTTAGGCAATCATTTTGTTTGTGAAATATTTTTGAGTAGTGGTTATGAGGAAGTAATGCCTTATTTACATATTATGTCATAAGAAGAAGGGTAGGGATGGAGGTATATAAGAATTAATGCCGTTGGACATTTCTCTTTCAATTATTTGGGACAAAAGTTTATATTTTGTGCCATCAGTTAAGGAATGTGGGCCTATACCAGCCAAAGGCTATCACAAGAGATCATTAATATACTTTTAATAACAAACTCTAGTCATTGGACTCTACAATATTATGACAAACGCTTAGATTAGAACAAACGTTATATTATTGTTATACAATTATATTTTTGTTTATACATATTTGGTGTCATGTTGTGGTGTAAGCATTTGTGCGGGGCATCCAAGTTGTGTGAGCGTTGGGATGTGTTGTATATTTTAGTGTAGTGTTTGCGAGGGTTGGGCACTCGTCTCCGGTGTATTACCCCCCGTATAGGCCGGCTCATATCAGGATCGAACCACCGATCTCTCAGTCTGTAACAGTTATAACATGTTATTATCTAAAACATAAATTTTTAGAAATATCCCGTAAAATAGTATTAAGTATAAAATATAATAACAAACGGCTATTAATGTCGGCTATCGTTGAACACAATTACTGGGAATTAGAGTTAAAACGTCTCAACGAAACCATGAAATACGCCATATTTATCATATATCTTATCACAACATTTGGTAATCAAGCAACAATTTATATGGTGATTAACATTAACATGGATATTTCGATTAGGATCATGATGTTTACAATTGCAATGTTTGGTTTTACATTACCATCTTTGGGATGTGTATTATGCACATGGATTTCAAGTGCTGCCCACCGATCGCATAATATATTGCTGTCATACCTGTCCATCACTGGTGGCCGACAACCGGTGCTCTCACTGTGCGATCGGTTGAAAGTGTTTGCATTCATAGAGAGGCTATCGATGGGACCCACAATCGGCTACTATTGCGGCGATTTGTTTCTTATGACTTCATTTAATTTCTATAAATACGTGTATTTTTGTGGCACTGTTTATATGTTAACTAGTTCAAAATGTCAATAATATTTAATTGCATGTACTTTTTATGTTTATTTACTTATATCTCAAATTATGTGATTAATTAAGTAAAGTCTAATATAATATATTAAATTATATACAATTTTATTATATTTTAAAATACAATATCATAATGTGACCATGAGCAAATAATGTACTCAATCAACCAAACCATGTTGTATGTGTATGTATGTGCTGACCGGCGGCGCCGACCAATTGGCACAACTCAGCCAAGAGTTGACTGAATTGGCCCGAAATGGCAGTCAATCGGCAGTTAAGGTCGCCCTCGGGTTGAAAGAGGCACCCGTCCGGTCGGCCCATAGTATATACAGTAACCTACAATCCATACGCCAGCAGTTGGTGGCCAATGAACAGGCAGTCCAGAGGGCTCTGTCCGACGCACCGACCGGTGATCGTAAGAACCGGTTGACTGCAGCCGACCAGCGATTAGTCAAAGAGATGTACGCCTCTGAAAACCAAAACCGGTATGAACGAGATGTATCAGGGTCAATCAAGGAATTGGTTGATTATCTCAATGTTTATCGTAATCAAAATAATGATCAAGCACTACCACCACCCGGCAAATAATCCTGATTATTCATGATTATTTCAATTAACATTGACTTCTTGAATTAATTAAAATAATTACTCAATAATACATTTTAAAAATCATTTATATTGTTCACCCTTTGTTGTATAAGTTACATTAATTTTATAAAAATAAATGTGGTAACCGTTTTGAATAAACATCCTTATTAATGTATTATTTATTATAGCGTTAAATAAATTGTAAATCATTACAATAATTACGACAGTAATTTTTAATTAAAAGTAACAAGTTTTAGAAATCATTAAAATAAAGTCTTTTAATAATAATATTTAAATTATTAGTAATTTACTCATACAGAAGGTGCGAAATGCACTGAAAAAACACTATATCATAATTAATTAACCGCGTATTTTAATGAAATAAACACAGAATAAATCATTAAATGTTGTGTTAGTATAGAATTTAAACTTACTTAGACATATTAGTGTTTTTTATATATTGTAAATTATTAATTGAATAATGATTAGAGCAAAGCCTAAATTAAAATTAACAAACAAAATTGAAACGTAAAAATAGTTATTTCTGTATGATAAAATTAAAAATAAATTATTTGCAGCAAATATTTATTTTTAAGAATATCTTTCCGAACGTGGTGTTCAATGATTTATTGTTATATTACAGTTGATAGATATATTGGTTACATTCAAGGTCGAGCATGGTTGATTCTTCCGATTCCTAAAGCTGTCTAAAAGTAGGATGACTCCGACCACTACGACCACAACCACCACTACGACTACTACTACGGTTACGGCTGCGGCTACGACAACATGGGCGCCGGTCACGATTACAGAACCATTACCACCATTGTGTGGTAATTGTGAATTTGAGGTATTTGATGTCGACTGGTTTACCATGTCGGTCACATTAACTTGGTGATTATTATTGACATTAATTATTATTGATGCACCAGTTTTATTTGTTTCCACCATGACTTTAAAATTTTAATTAATTAATATAAAATGTATTTTTAAGATTATCAAAAACAGTTTGATGTACAGTTTACAAATTGTGCTAAAATTGCGATAAATATAAATCATGTTAATGAAATTTAACTTATAATGTTATAAAGTCTAAAAATATTACCACAACTTAACAATGAGTGTTAACACAGTCTGAATTGGAATATAAGTTAAAATGGCTGCCAATCAATCAGATTTTAATCAAAACGACAACAACACAGTGAATGATAAACACTACATTTAAATAAATTTTAATAATTAAGATAAATTTAAATTTATGTTATATTTTTCTACACTGATAATTATAAAAAACGACAAACAAGAGAATTGTGTAAAAATTGACTAATTACTAGAAACTAAAAATAACATTAAAAATATACAAATATATTGCGTATAAAATTTTAATTGTGTTACAAATCAATGATGATGTTTTATTATTACAATTTACTATGTTGTAGTCGTTTTGATTATTATTTAATTGATTGACAGCAATTTTGAATTATATTCTTTTCAGAATGTACTATCAGTTATTTTGAAGGTGTGGTAATAATTTAAGACTTTATATAACATAAATTGAATTTAATTACCAGAATTGTATTTATCATAATCTAGCACAATTTATAAAATATATACAACTCTATCAAACTATTTTTAATTTACACAATTTATTTTATTAAAATATTATTTATTACATAATTATTCTCTAATTAATAATATTTATTAGCTTTCATTACGTGTTATAATATTATGAACAAAGAAATTTTATTAAACTATGTAACATAAAAAAATTATTCCGTTAATAACACTTAAATTTAATATTTAGATAATAAGTAAAACTGTTGGAAACACAGATATTATGACAAAGAATTGCATATAATATTTGATAAGTTGTATATAAATTAATACAAAATATAAGTACACTCTTAAAATAATAAATCCTTCTTATGAATGCATGTCGATTATTATCATGTCTTTTCTCTCTGTCTCTCTCAAAATTTTCATTTACAACTTTCAATGCTATGAAACGCGGAGTTATTTTTATTAATTTTGGTATTAATGCTATAATAGATTTAAATATATTATTTAAAACATTTTAACTTAAAAATCATAGTCGTATGTTGCATCATAAATATTTAAGATTAATTACAATTGAAACTACTAGTATATCTCTCGTGACATAATTAAAGCTTCGATTTTTCGGGAATAAAAACATGTAAATTCGGGAGTATACATGACAAAATCGGGAAAATTCGGGAATTACGTTTTTATTAGATTTTTACATAATAATTATGTACTTAAGCGATTTTCAAAAGGTTTATGTGCACTAATGAAGCAAAATAATGACATTTATTGAGGCAAAAATAATGAATCAAATAAATATGCCATTTGTATCTCATGTCTTATATTGTAAGTGAACATCATATTAACATGTATTTACAAATTATGTAAACTTTTAGCAAGTTTTGATATTCTGTCAGCAAATTCATTAAGATTTTAATAGAAAATCCATATTTTTAAAGATTTTTTCTTAAAAATAGTACATTTTTGGGGCATTTGTAATAAATTAGACGCTTTTCGGGAGTTTTCCTAACAATATACCAAAATCGGGAATTTTCTCAAAAAGTGCCAAAATCGGGAAAAATCGGGAAAATAAAACTTATATATTTTAGGCCTATTAGCATTTGACGCGAGTTTCATAGCATTTGACGCGAGTTTCATAGCATTTGACGCGAGTTTCATAGCATTTGACGCGAGTTTCATAGCATTTGACGCGAGTTTCATAGCATTTGACGCGAGTTTCATAGCATATGTTAATGGCAAAATATAAAGATGTTTGTTTAAAACTTACTAGGAATTCAAGCATTTATATTTAAAATACAAATAGCTGAATAATTTTGTAGTTTTGTAAATAAGATTTTATAAAAAAATTTAATATTGTATTAAACTGCAAATTTAAATACATGTAAATTTGTTATACTGAGGTTTCTAATCAGTTTTAATACTCAACATGATAAAAATCAATATGCATTCATAGGACGCATTTATTATTTTAAGATTTTTCTAATATCTGGTATTAATTTAAAGTATATAATGTATTTAACATTATATACAACTTATCAAATGTTATATGCAATTCGTTGTCATAATATCTGTGTTTCCATAGAGTTTTACTTATTATCTAAATATTAAATTCAAGTGTTATTAACAAAATAATTTTTAACCACAATTCAGTATGAATACTGTGGTTTATAGGATTGTTCTGCCCTCACCCGGCCCCTACCCTATGGGATTTAACATGGGATTACAGCTTAAGAATATGGCTATACTTTAACATGTGATTCTTGAGTGTATGGGGAATTAACATGGGATTACAGCATAGGTCTGTGGCTATACTATAACAAGGGCTATGTTATGTCTATGACAATGCTAATCCTATGGACTATGTTAGGTTTATGGCATACGTTTAACATGGGTAATATTAAGTCTATGTGTAATGTTATATCAATGGGACTAATACTAATCCTATGGACTGATGTTAAGTCTATGGACAATGTTAAGTCTATAGGGAGTGCTAATCTTAAGAACTCTAATTAAATGTGTAGATAATGCTAATTTATTCTTTAAGCAATACCCGAATTGTGGTTAACGTATAGAATCGCTGTGTGATCTTTGTTTTTTATGTTTCATAGTTTAATAAAAATTTCCTTGTTCAAAATATTATTACACGTAATAAATGCTAACAAATAATAATAATTAAAGATTAATGACGTAATAAATACTATTTTAATTAATATTAAATAAATTGTTAGATCTGTAAAATTGTTTAATATATAGTTTACAAATTGTGCTAAAATTGCGATAAATATCAATAATGGTAATAAAATTTAACATATTATGTTATAAAAACACTATAATTATTACCACACCTTAAAACTTGTGATAACATAGTCTAAAAAAGAATCTAATTCAAAATGGCTGCCAATCAATCAAATACTAATCAAAACAACAACAACATTGCAAATGGTAATAATAAAACAATCATTCATGAGCAACACATTTTAAATTTTATTCATAATATATTTAGATATATTTTTGTATTGTTTACAGGTTGTACTAACATGTCAAGTTTTTTCCGCAATAATTTTGAAAAGTTGCTGCAAATAAAGAAAGGTAAGTACGGGGGTATATATCAAGTGAGACACATGATTGAACAAAAGATGTACGCGGTTAAAATTTACAATTTATATGGTAATTTACAAATATAATACTAAGTGTTTCTATAAATTAAAATTTTTCTTGATTTTTTAGACAAAGATAATGATCACAAGCGACAAATAGGTTATAATGAGATTCAAAATTTAGTAAAATTACGCTCAAATTATGTGGCAATGTATCGTAATTCATGGCTTGAGGATAATCATCTGTACATTCAAATGGATTATTGCAATCAAAATCTACAGACAATTATTGATAATAAACACATTGTTTTTGGGAGACAACCGGAAGACTCAATAAAAGCCTACGAGTATTTTATTTCGTGTGAAATTCTCAGAGAACTTTTAGAGTGCGTCCAATATTTACATCAATCGTGTCCACCGGTTATCCATCGAGACCTCAAACCGTCAAATGTTTTGATTTCACAAAATAACAATACTTATAATAAACGGTTTCTAAAACTTTGTGACTTTGGTTCCGCCACTTCCGACGACATGACATCCATGACCAACACATTCAGTATCGGGACGTCACAATATACGGCACTTGAAGTAAATCAATCCCGATATACCATTAAGGTTGACATTTTTAGCTTGGGAGTCATTGCATTTCATTTGTTTGATTTATTCACTATGTATGTTTATTTGACTGGGTCAATTTCACTAATTTAAATTATTTTACTTAATTTTAATGATTTTTTATTAGAGATAATCATATAGACAAATACAGTCTAAATGAATTTTCAATAAATATTAAACGCCTATATGAAATAATTGGACAAATGACTCAACCGTTTTCAACCCTACGACCCACATGTGATCGAGTTCTCTGCGATTATAACCAGTGGTCAATTGATTTGCAAATAATCACTTCAAATCAACAGAAGTTGAATGAAATATTAAATATACTTAAATCAAATGAATTGTCATTTTTCTACGAGTTTTTTAGTTGTAAATTAAATAACGCACTACTTAAAAATTCTCTGGAACGGCGCAATCAATATATAAATAACGAGGTAAGAAATAGTTAATGTTATTTGTTATTTAACTAATATATTACTTTTAAAAATAAATTCTCTTATTCATAATAAAGTCACAAATTTATGTAATTTAATACTATATTATAATTTTTTAAACAATATATTATTTATAATTGTCTAATTAATTAAACAAAATTTTAAGGATATGGGCAAAACAAATAATGCTGGTACATCATTCATAATTAATGTTAATAATAATCACCAAGTGAATATGACAGACATAGTAAACCAGTCGACATCATCTATGCCACCAAATTCACAATTAACACACAATTTAAGCAAAGAATTGGAAAACAATTCTAGCGCTCAAAAACCGAAAGTTAATGGCATAATTAAAGATGTGACTAAAACGGTAGTCAATAACCAAAGTATAAGTAATTCTACTAATTCACGGCCAAACGAGGGAACCGAAGCAATACGGAATGTAAAAGAGATTGAAACCACATGTCAATCAAGTACTAAACAAGAGAAGCAACAAAACAATGAAGAAAGACAAAATAGTGGTGTAGGATCTTTCAGCTGGGGCAAGGTCATTGTTGTCGTAGTGGTAATCGTTGTTGTCGTAGTGGCCGTAGCCGCCCTAATTTACTTCGGCTTATCATCTCACACCACGATCGTAACATCCGTATTAATCGGCTCCCATATAACGATTAATCGTTGAACACCTTGATCGTAAAGATATTCGTAAAAATAGCAATTTGCAGCAATCTAACAAAATGTAATTTATCTTTATTTTTTCATTAAGAATTTAAACATATTTTAATTATTTTATAGGATTTTATTTTATTTTTAAGTGCCAGCCGATTCGTGTTTAAACTTACATCACTGCCATTGAATCTTTCTTTGTTAATTTAAATTTACGTTTAAATAAACTTAAGTCTAAGTAAGTTGTAATTATTTGTACTATATTTATTTTGTGTCTAATTCATTGAATTCGCCGGTTATGTAATGTTGGTATAGTGTATTTTCAATGCATTTTAGAAATATGATTGAATAGTTTAAAGATTATTATGAAATTTTTTAAATTGTTTTAAATTGGCTTTATAATGTTTTAAAAAATTTGTCATTTTTAATTAAAAAGTTCTATTGTAATTATTGTAATGATTTAACAATGGGTTTAAAACTATAATTAGATAAACATTAATATAAATTTACATATCGCTGTAAACCAAACATGTCTCAAATAACTGAATTTTATTGTAATTTTAAAAATAAAATTTATGTTTAATTTTTTGAAGCCATTTTGATATTAATTGTAGATTTAAAGTACAATTATAAAAATTTGAGAGAGAGAGAGAAAGAGAAAGAGATCAACATAGAGTGAACAATATAAATTATTTTTAAAATTATTTATTTATGAATCTTTCAATAAGCAAGAAGACAATGTAAATTCAATCAACCCGGAATAGGATTATTTACCGAGAGGTGGTTGTGCCTGTCCCTCATTTTGATTACGGTAAAATTTGATATAATCAATAAACTTCTTGATAGACCCTGATACATCTCGTTCAGTCCGGTTTTGGTCTTCATGGGCATACACTTGGGCCACACCTTTAGCCAACTGGTCGTAAAAGACTATCTGTTTAACTAACTAGTTTGAGCATTTAACATGATTGATACAAAATAATTAACCAAATTAATTATTTATAATTAAACCAATGAAATAAGCAAAACATAATTCAAATTACAAATCCTAATGTATTGATAAAACTCATAAGAAGTCATTGGAAACAAATCATAGCAATAATAGCCGATCTTAGGTCCGGTCGACAGGCGCTCAACGAACACAAGTAATCTCAGTCTTAGGGCCAGCGATAGGTCCGGCCTATGAGTCTCAGAAGACAAGTAGCCGTACAACAGGGGGTACGGCCTGTGGGCCGCCTTCAACACCCATGTGCTCAGAATACAGTCCATCGTCGGTAATGAGACACCAAAAGCGCCGATAATAGACATCATAACTCTGACCAATAGATCGCTGTGTTTGTTGTGAATCATATAAATAACAATCTGTAAACCAATGGTTGCAATAAAATATACGACAAATATAACGTATTTGTATGTATTGTTCAGAAGTTTTGTCTGTAATTCCCAGTAATTGTGTTCAACGATAGTCGACTGTAGCAGACGTCGGTCATCACGCATAATAGCCAATGCTATCCTATGGTGTAATTCTAGAAATTTATGTTTTAAATAATACGTGTTGATAAACCATAGGGTAAATCCGATACAGGCTATCGAGTATATGATAATACCGCTGAACACTACTTGCAAATCATAGATTACCATAAGCATAAATCTAACTGTACTTGGTCGATTAACAAATATAATTAACTGATGATAACATGCAACCACGATTGTAGCAAATTCCAGTATTAAATAACCATATTTACTAATATACAAATTGGACCAGCTCATATATTTTCGTAGTCTTCTTGATTTATGTTCATTTAGCGGATATATAAAAGAGTTATACTTTAAATTGAATAGAAATGTACTTAGATGAAATTTGTTTATTAACTCTTGGTACATAATTAAATAGCCGATACAAAACATGGCAAAAGGTATAATAGTGTTCACCATCTTACAAGTTGTCTAACCCTTATGTGTGTTGCATCAAATAATAGATCAAGGGCAATTGAACTTTTTACCACGCTTAGTAATAAAGCTCTCAATACACATAGAAGTATTAGTATTCTGGAAAATATCACCATGATCAATCTCGTTGAGCAAGATTTATGTTTAACACTCGCCATATAATCGTCGCAATCGTACGAAACGGTTAAATATGTGTTTCGCATAAATGTCTCCAACTTTTGGCACTCAATCCGCATATTATTGTTCACACGATTCCGGATATGTTTGCGGAATATTTCATGTATTCTGAGAGTGGTATCCATTGAACTGACTATTAATGTTATAAATTATGTTATTAAAATAAAATGACTAATTTAATTAGAAATACATTGTGCTAAAATAATTTTAATTACATTATCTATAAAATGATATTAAAAATGTATTTTATTTTCTATTTATATCTAATGCAATATTTTATTTTATTTTTGTTGTTATTGTTTAACAATATTGCTCAATAAAACAAATATCTCAATAAACAATGATGATTAATTGCTCTATTTACAATTAAATGCAAATAAGTTTTTAAATATTAATTAATCATTGTTTATTTTATTTGTAATTTTCTCAAATAAAAATTATGACTAAATAATATAAATATGTTCTAATAATAAAACAAATTATGTCTAAGGCTTCGAAATTTCGGGAATTCCCGAAAAAAATAGTTAACAAAATCATCGGGAATTGCATACCATTAGCTTTAGGGGTCATAATAGGCCTAAAATATATAAGTTTT